AAATAATCTCAAGTCAGAATCTGACATTTCTGTTTCGTCCGTTGACACGGAGGATTTGCCAGATCTCAATCTTAGTGATCAGGAAAGTGGCAAAGAAGATGAACAAGAGTGGAACGAGGATCCTGGTCCAGTTGTTGTTAATCCGTTCATCGCGAATACCAGCCTTGTCAGGGATGTTCAAGGTTATTTGACCATAAAATTTTTTAATCTAATGTTTAAGGACAGCAATTTTGACAGAATTGCAGAGGAAACGAATTGTTATGCGCGGCAAGCTATGGTAACAAAACCAGACATTGCTTGGTGTGAAATTGATACCGAAAAAGTGAAGGCATTCTTTGCATTAAATATCCTGTTTGGGATTAAACAATTGCCTGAAGTCCACTTATACTGGTCCAAAAATCAGCTTCTCCGAGTCCCAGAAGTGCAAAAGATTTTTCCATGGAACCAATTTGCCAAAATATCACAATATCTTCATCTAAACAATAAGAGAAGAGAATTGCCACGTGGGCACGCAAACCACAACAAATTGTTCAAAGTGCAACCTCTTCTCGATTCTGTTGTAGAGGCCATTAAAAGCGAGTACAGGCCGTCGAAAAATATTTCGATCAATGAGGCAATGATTCCTTTTAAAGGAAGACTTTCCCTTAAACAATACATGCCATGTCCACAATCTTACTCGATCCTTGGTAGGCAAAAATCACCATGTTTTTGTCGATAATTTTTTCAATTCTCTTGCTCTTGTGGAAGATTTGCTTCGAGATCAAATTTATGTTAATGGAAATCGACAAGGTATCCCCTGTGCAATTGCCCCTTCGACTCAAAGAGTCAAGCGACTTTGTCAAGGAGAGTCGTTGTTTCTTCGTAAAGAGAACATTGTTGTTACTGTATGGAAAGATAAGAAGCCAATATATTTTTTGAGCTCTCAGTCCGATCCCGTGGGGAATGACACCGTCATGAAGACATACAACAACAACATGGGCAGTGTAGACTTGAACGATCAGACATGGGGCTACTACATGGCTGGAAGAAAATTGAAAAAGTGGTGGCGTTGTCTCACGTGGTTCTTTGTTGATGTTGCCATTGTAAATGCTTATATTTTGGAGAAACTCTCCCCGCATCACTGATCAAGAACTCAACTGGCCTTTCGTTTAGATCTTGTGAAGTTACTTATCGGAAATTTTTTGGCACAGCGATTGTCTGCAAGTTCTGGGCACCTAGAAGGAGGGCATTGGCCCATCAAGTTCTCTAAAGGTCACTGTAAGCGCTGTTTAAAGCGAAACAAGGAAATGTGGTGCCGAATGGCGTGTGAACTTTGCGCAAACGCATTTGTTTAGACTGTTTTAAGAACCATACCGTGGACAATCTCGCTTGAACATTGGCACGAAATTAAAAAACTCGAGCTTGTAAAAATTGATTTTTTGTGATGATTTTTTTGTGACGAATTTTTGAAGAATTGACCACCGAGTCAGTCCAAGATAGCACTAATAATTCTCTATCACCTATTTTCTCCATTCAATAGATTAGTTAGACGTAGTTTGTCCTTAAATGTAACAATTTTCTGTGAGACATGGATGAGTTCATGAGCAACATGGATGGTTGAGATTTCTATTCACTCAATTTGAGCTCTTAATATTTGCTGAATGCATGCATAAAAGAAAATATTTTTGGCAGCACTGGAAAGTTTATTATCTTAGGAACAAAGTTTCTTTGTATTGTTTCTTGAATAAATGAGTAGTTTCTGATATATTGATTAAAATTTGTAGTGTTACTTTGTGTTGATTTTGGTTCCCTTGCCTTGGGCAGATGGGGTAGTATTACACACTGTCACCCTTGGACGGGAACGGGTTAAGAGTGAAAACGCCACTCTACTCCACACCCTGAAAGGAAGGGAAAAACGCTAGTGGCTTAAGACTATTCCTCTCGATCCTGGATTGAATTTACCCAATGCCACTGTGACAGATAATCCACCCACAACCAGAAGCAGTCGATGCTACAACAGGTGGAGCAGGCTCTTAAGGAAACGTCAGCATTTCCACCAAAAACGCAGATTGCCCAACACCGTCAATTTGGATCAGCTACACCAGTTGGACCCTGTTAACCTTTCGAGCATGTTCATGGATGCAGATCAGGTCAAACTGCTGAGGAAAGGATCATTGTTTTGCCCAATGCCTAAGGACATCAATTGGCAGAGCATATATGATGACTTGGAAGTATTTGAAACTTGACTACGAACAGCAGCTTTCTTCGTTGACAACTATCCCGATGACAACTTGGCAGTTCCTAGCCACCTACCTTGGGTTCCAAAGGATTGTAAATGAAAACCTCTAATGTCAAGGTACCCTGAACTTGAATTACTTTTAGCTAATGGATAACATGATCTTATTAATCATGAGAACATTAGGCAAGTTAGTGATAACCTTTCTAAAAAAGAACAGGCTGTGCTTAAAGAACTTAAAAATTATATTGTAGTGATTCGTATATAGGACAAAGCCCCCTGATTTATATAAATTGATGAAAAGGAGTACGAGGAAAAAATGTTTGGTCAGCTCAACAACCAGTTACATTATAAATCTTTGCAATCGAATCCAACCTCTAAACATTTGGCATTAGTGGAGAGTTGGTGTTCCAAATGGCATGGAAAGGGTGAGATTTCTCCCAAAGTAGCTAAGCGGGTTTTAGGCTACATCCACACAGTGCCGAACAAATTTCTGACCGGCCAAAAATTTCAACCGGACATTCTGTTCACACGGAACTGTGCGAAAGTTTCCTTCAGTTCAGGTGGAACTGATAACCGGATGAAGTTTGTGACACTTGTCGGTGGTTTTACCATCTCCTCATGCGCACAACATTTCTTTAACCAAATGCAAAATGGCTTCCAGAAAGAGAAAAGCCAATTTGGATGGTAGCATGGATAACGAGTATTTCACTTGGATGGATAAGGAGACAGCACTACTGCTTAATGTTGCTTTATCATATAAAAATGAGAAAACATCAAGAATGGGAGTCGATATGAACAAGGTATGAGGAATTACAAGAACTTTCCATTGAAAGATATTCAAACAACGATGAATTCGAAGTAGACCCAGCACAGTTTCCAAACTGTAAGGATACTGGCATATTCTCCAAAGAAAAGATAAATGCGAAGTTGAAGAGGATAAAGTTTGGTTATCAGAAAGTTGTAGATTCTGGAAGATGAAGCGGAGGTGGAAGAGTGGTAACAATACTATTTGACATATGCGCTGAACTATGGAATGGATGTCCGGCTGTCGAAGCTATGGATAATGGTATTGAGACAGCGGAAGAGATACCCGGTGATGGTAATCCTGACGAAAGTGAATTGGGGCTACTACCTTTCGCAGCAAATGACCCTGCAAGGGAGGATAGCACTGGTGTGACAACCTGGGATGAAAGTGCCAAGGATGCAGTTGAAAAAACTGTTGATGCAAGAAGAAACTTGATTTCTAAGCTAAAAAAGGAAAAAAATTCCAAGCTTACGACGAAAACAACAACAGAAAACATAATGTTAGCCCTTGGACATGAAGAACTCCAGTTGAAAAAGAGAATGATCGATCAGCTTGAAAAGTCAGAAGAAAAATACATGGAAAGTATGCAAAGTTTTACCGCTAGTTTACATTCTTTAAGCTCCACATTGCAGAATGGATTCAACATGCTGGGGATGATGATGCAGCAGAATCATCAGCAGAACCAGCATCTTAGGGTTAGTACAACCATCCCCAATATCAGCAACAGCAAAGCAACATGTCAGGTGTTTGGCATTTACAGGATCCTTCTCATTTTAATAAGTGTTGAACATTAACATTCACATTGTGTCTACTCTTAACTGTTGGATTGTGCACTGTTTTAGCACTCTGTTAACAAAGTTGAGTTGTGTTTATTATATGCACTGCCAGTTTGCCTGCTCACTAGGCAGAAAGACATGGGTAGGCTTACCTTGTTATTGCACTATTTACCTCAGAGATTTTCAGTTTTAATGTGCATTACACTGTACCAGTAACAATTTCATCAATATAATTAGTTAAATTTCTTCTATGTTACTTGTTGCCATTAATAATTGTTGAGTGTCATGTTTGTAAGTACTAACTTTCTCACTTCATAAGGTTCATGCTTGTTGAATAACATTCAATCAAAAGAATGTTTTTCATCTTTATTTTATTACCTAGCAAGATCAACACAAGTATCTTGGAATAAAAACATGC